CAGCCGTGTTTTACACTTGAACATTTTAACAACTGCAATTCCTCCTGTTTAATGCTCTGTGTGTTCACCATCAAGACACAGATGCCCCTTTTTTTCACATGCTCTGAGTGTGGTCTTCCCGGAGGAGGCAGCATTTCGGTTTGATATCTTTGCCAGTGACTAGGGTGCAGCCATTGGCTCAAGCTCTGCCCGCTGGTTCTTCCCCTGTTGGCAGACACTCCCAAACGCTGTCATTTCCATTTCTCTAAATTATCTAAATAGAATGAAAGTATCCTTTTTTTATTGCATTTTAGGTTTTGGGGTACATGTGAAGAACATGCAAGATTGTTGCATAGGTACACACATGGCAGTGTGATTTGCTGCCTTCCTCCCCATCACCTATATCTGGGATTTCTCCCCATGCTATCTCTCTCTATTTTTTTTTTTTTGAGTTGGAGTCTTGCTCTGTCACCCAGGCTGGAGTGCAACGGCATGATCTCGGCTCACTGCAGCCTCCACCTCCTGGGTTCAAGCAGTTCTCCTGCCTCAGCCTCCTGAGTAGCTGGGAATACAGACATGTGCCACCATGCCAGGCTAATTTTTGTATTTTTAGTAGAGATGGGGCTTCACCGTGTTAGCCAGAATGGTCTCGAACTCCTGACCTCATGATCTGCCTGCCTTGGTCTTCCAAAGTGGTGGGATTACAGGCGTGAGCCACCGCGCCCAGCCCCGAATGAAGGTATCACTGAAGGACCTCCAGGTGTAATGAAAAACATTTCCCAAGTCTCCCCGAGATCCTCCCATGTTAGGTTCCCTGGTTCCCTCTCACGGTGCCCTGGGGAAGGGGCACAACTTCTCCAGGGGTTGGGTTCCAGCTGAATGCAGCCACAAAGCTCCTAGCAAGTATGATTTCCTGTCCATTGGGCACACCACCCTGGCATCTTGGTGCAATGGGCTCGAAGCCTCATACTCTTTTTATTATTTTTTTTTTCTTGTTTGTTTTCTTTTCTTACTATAAGTTCTGGGGTACATGTGCAGAACGTGCAGGTGTGTTACACAGCTATACACGTGCCGTGGTGGTTGGCTGTACCCGTCAACCCATCATCTACATTAGGCATTCCTCCTAATGCTCTTCCTCCCCAATCCCCCCTCCCCCTGCTCTCCCTCCCTTACCCTCAACACCCCCCAACAGGCCCTGGTGTGTGATGTCCTTGCATTCTCCCTGTTCAACTCCCACTTATGAGTGAGAACATGCAGTGTTTGGTTTTCTGTTCTTGTGTCAGTTTGCTGAGAATAATGGTTTCCAGCTTCATCCATGTTCCTGCAAAGGACGTGAACTCATCCTTTTTCATGGCTGCATAGTATTCCACAGTGTCTATGAGCCACGTTTATCTAGTCTATCATTGATGGGCATTTGGGTTGGCTCCAAGTCTTTGCTATTGTGAACAGTGCCATAATATGGCCTTGGATTCTCCTGCCTCAGTCTCCTGAGTAGCTGGGATTAGAGGGGCTCACCACAACACCCAGCTAGTTTTTGTATTTTTAGTAGAGACGGGATTTCACCATCTTCAGGCTGGTCTTGAACTCCTGACCTTGTGATCTATCAGCCTCGACCTCCCTAAGTGCTGGCATTACAGGCATGAGCCACCATGCCTGGTGGCTGAGGGTTTTCCTGCTTCTAACATCCCCACATGAATTCTGGGGGAAATGACAGTGGAGTATCAGGAATTCCTATCCAGATGGCAGTGTGCGCAGAAGCAGCACTTCCAAACTGTGGCAAAACTGCCTCTCCCCCAGTCTGCAGGAGGTTGATAACTGCCGTAGATACAATAACAATGAATTCGTAAAAAAAAAAAAAAAAGCTTTTAAAAAATTTAGGAAACATGCAAACTAGAAGCTCCCAATCTGTCTTTTTTAAGCCATTGGACTGAGCACAGCTTCCGTGACTGTCATTATTTTTTCTTAAGTTTCTAAACGTTGACTTGCAATTTCTGAGCATGACTCGTCACGGACAGTTTGCAGTAACAGTTCACGGGCAGCAGCCGTCTGTATGCTCTACCTCGAGGGACTCTGGCTCGGGAGTGTGCACACCATCATCCATCTGATGTTTTACTTTTTTATTTGTATTTTTGAGACACAGTCTGGCTGTGTCGCCCAGGCTGGAGTGCAATGGCGTGATCTCAGCTCACTGCAACCTCCGCCTCCCAGGTTCAAGCGATTCTCCTGCCTCAGCCTCCCGGGTAGCTGGGATTTCAGGTGGCTGCCACCACGCCCGGCTCATTTTGGCATATTTAGCAGAGCCAGGCTGTCACCATGTTGGGCAGGCTGGTGTCCAGCTCCTGACCTCGTGATCTGCCTGCCTCGGCCTCCCAACATGACATGACAGGTAGAAGCCAGTACGCCTGCACTTCCCAGCCCCGCAGCTGTGTTTCTCTGAGGAAAACATTGAAAGTACACATTTCGTTTTCCCTGATGGCCTGGTGAGTTGGCACAGACAGGCTTCATTCTCCACGAGAAAGAACGCTCTTATATTATCTTAAAACATCCCTGCCAAGAGGAGGCGGAAGGATATGTTTCAAACTTCGGGACTTTGCCTGCCACCTTGGGTGGACTGGCGGGTGCTATGGTATTTCAGGTGTGCGACATCAGCCAGACACAACAAAAGCTACCTCTGTGTCTCAGCCCACGGTCTGTGCTGCAGAAAGCATCGTCTCTCATGATCGAGGACCCAACCCGCCTCCGTTCTGGGCTCCTGGAACCCCAGGGATTAATCTGAGTTTGTTACCAACAGCTAGGTGAGGCCGGGCGCAGGGGGTCACGCCTGTCATCCCAGCACTTTGGGAGGCCGAGGTAGGCAGATCACAGGGTCAGGAGTTTGAGACCAGCCTGGCCAACATGGTGAAACCACATCTCTACTAAAAACACAAAAATTAGCTGGGTATGGTGGTGCACACCTGTAATCCGAGCTGCTCAGGAGGCTGAAGCAGGAGAATCACTTGAGCCCATGTATTATACTTTAAGCTCTGAGATACATGTGCAGAAGGTGCAGGTTTGTTACACAGGTATGCATGTGCCATGGTGGTGGTTTGCTGCACGCATCCCCCTGTCACCTACAGTAGGTATTTCTCCTAATGCTCTCCCTGCCCAATCTCCCCACCCCCTGCTATCCCTCCCCTAGCCCCCCACCCCTCAGGCCCCGGTGTGTGATGTTCCCCTCCCTGTGTCCATGTGTTCTCATTGTTCAACGCCCACTCATGAGTGAGAACATGCGGTGTTTGGTTTTCTGTTCTTGTGTCAGTTTGCTGAGAATGATGGTTTCCAGCTTCATCCATGTCCCTGCAAAGGACATGAACTCATCCTTTTTTATGGCTGCATAGTATTCCACGGTGTATATGTGCCACATTTTCTTTATCCAGTCTATCCTTGATGCGCATTTGGGTTGGTTCCAAGTCTTTGCTATTGTGAATGATTCAACAGAGTATCAATCTGTCCCCAGGCTGGAGTGAAGTGGTGCGATCTCAGGTCACTGCAACCTCCACCTCCCAGGTTCAAGCAATTCTGCCTCAGCCTCCCGAGTAGTGGATTACAGACACCTGCCACTGTGCCAAGCTAATTTTTGTAACTTTAGTAGACACAGTGTTTCACCATGTTGGCCAGGCTAGTCTTGAACTCCTGACCTCATGATCCACCCCCCTTGGTCTCCCAAAGTGCTGGGATTACAGGCATGAACCACCGCGCCGGCCACAAAACACCCTTAACACAATTGAACACATCGCTCTCAGAGATGCACACTGAATGGGAATTGAGAGAGGAGCTAGAGCGGAATGGACGCGCCGGATATAATACACATAAACCTACCTCTCTGACTGTGTGATGTCACAAAGGTGTCTCTGCGTCTTTCAGTCTCTAAAAGAGTTCCCTGTGGCCGGACACAGCAGCTCACGCCCGCAATTCACCCCTTTGGGAGGCTGACGTGGGAGGCTCACCTGAGCTCAGGCATTCGACAGCAGCCAGGGTAACATAGCAAGACCCTGTCTCCAGAAACATAAATGTGATAAAATATAAAATGCCCTCTTTTGTTATTCTACTGCAGAAGAAGGAAGTCCTCGCTTCTGAGTTATTCTGTGCTTCTGTCACATATGCTGTGTAACAAAATAACAGACTCAGAGGCGTGGGAAGGGCTCATACTTGCTCTCCCACAGCTTCTGGGCATCTGAAATCTCAGCAAGAGTAACTGGCTTCTCTCTTCTGGGTCTCAGTAGGCTATAACCGAAGTGTCACCCGGCCTGGGGTCCTCTCTGGACCTCAGGATCTTCTTCGAAATTCACATAGTTATAGACAGAATCCAATTCCTCGGAGCTGTAGATCCGAGGTTCTCAGTATCGCTCCGGCTTTTGGACAGGGGCTGTTCTCAGCTCTTAGGCAGGCCATGCCCAGGTTCTGGCCCCAACGCGCTCTCACAAAACATCAGTTCACTTTAAGGTCAGGAGGAGAATGACATGCCCCACATGCACTCAAGGGAAGGGGATTATGCAAGAATGTGACTCATTGACGGTCTCCCTAGAGTATGATGTCCTCATTGTACCCTACTGACACGTCCAGTTAACTGTTACTTCCTGGCCAGATGCAGTGGCTTATGCCTGTAATCCTGGCACTTTGGGAGGTTGAGTGGATCACCTGACGACAGGAGTTTGAGATCATCCTGGCCAACACGATGAAACCCCGTCTCTACTGAAAAAAAATCAGCTGGGCAGGTAGCATGTGCCTGTAATCTCAGCTACCCAGGAGGCTGAGGCAGGAGAATCGCTGAAACCCAGGAGGCGGAGGCTGCAGTGAGCCGAGATTATGCCACTACACTGCAGCCTGGGTGACAGAGCAAGAGTCTGTCTCAACAAGAAAAGAAAAAAAAAAGTGTCACTTCCTAGGTCAGATTGAAGTCGACCTGTTTAGGAATTTGTTTGATCTCTGCAATAGGTTCGAAGATAACCAGATATTCTTTTTGTGTGTGTGTCTTTTTCCAGTGGAATTTTTATACTGTGACCTGACTTCGATGGCGTCCATCTGGCAGTTTGTCCAGAAGTTCAAGATGAAGAAGATTCCTCTCCATGTGCTGGTTAACAACGGTGAGTCCCGGTGAAATTGCTGCATCCCAGAGGCTAATCTGGACGCAGCGGGAACCGTGACTTCCATGCGAGACACGTGCTTGAGCAGAACGGGATAGCCGTGGTGTTGGCTGCACAGACCTGCTATTTGTAGTCACTGCTTCATTTCTCCCGTCGCTCTGGAGGAGTGTCACGCAATTAGCATGTGACTTTCAGATAATGGTAAACGCGATAGCCTGTTGTATGGAATTGACACGGTGACTGGTCCACTTTGACTAAAGTGTATTATGCACATGCCAAGGGTTGGTGTTTTCCCAAATGCTGTCTTACAAACTCATCCCCACACTCCCCTGAGAGTCCCTGTTCGGGCTCTAGAAGGTCATTAGTGTTTATCTCTTGATTTTACCTATCACTCTGATCCCCTGCTACAGTCTTTTTTTTTTTTTTTATAAAAGTTACACGGACCCCTCCACACTGAACAGGTGCAGTTACTGACATCTCCAGACTAAGTAAAAACATAGAACCAAAGCTCTCAGAAATGCACCAAGAACACACGTGTGCTGGTAGACTTTAACACACCACGTTCAGAGCTGGAGACAAAATGGAAATTTACAGAGGAAATGAATCGTGAAATTAATACGGTGGATAGAACAGACGTAAGTCAAACAGCTCATAGACAAAGCACATTCCTTTCAAATACATGAAACATTTATCAAATATGGATACTTTACATGGCAGAGAAAAAAAGTCCCCAAAATGGCCTCGTGATTATCCATGTAATTACTCCATTACCCACATAGACCATTAAAGGTTCTTAATCATCTCTGCACAACCCCTGTTGGCATCTGAGGCCCCATTGCCATTAGGGTATGGACGTGTGTCTAAGGAGGGGGAAGCGTTATTCTTTCTGTGAAAGTGGTAACACTTGTCTGTTTCCAGCTGCTAAATGTGACACCTTCCACTTTATTTTTCTCTCTTTTTGTCTTGATGTGTTTTGTCTTTTTCTGTAACATTAATGGGATTGAAATACATGGGGAATAGCATATGAACAACTTTGGGACATTGTTGTGTCTCCCACGTGGGATTAGGACGTGGATGTCTTTGGGTCATTATTCTGTCTCCTACATGGGATTAGGACGTGGACATCTTTGGGTCATTATTCTCTGTCCCACATGGGGATTAGGATGTGGACATCTTTGGGTCATTATTCTGTCTCCTACATGGGATTAGGACGTGGACATCTTTGGGGTCATTACTCTGTCTCCCACATGGGAATTAGGATGTGGACGTCTTTGGGGCCATTATTCTGTCTCCCACATGGGGATTAGGACGTGGACATCTTTGGGGCCATTATTCTGTCTCCCACATGGGAATTAGGACGTGGACGTCTTTGGGGTCATTATTCTGTCTCCCACATGGGGATTAGGACGTGGACGTCTTTGGGGCCATTATTCTGTCTCCGACATGGGAATTAGGATGTGGACGTCTTTGGGGCCATTATTCTGTCTCCGACATGGGGATTAGGATGTGGACATCTTTGGGGCCATTATTCTGTCTCCCACATGGGGATTAGGACGTGGACGTCTTTGGGGCCATTATTCTGTCTCTGACATGGGGATTAGGACGTGGACATCTTTGGGGCCATTATTCTGTCTCCCACATGGGGATTAGGATGTGGACATCTTTGGGGCCATTATTCTGTCTCCCACATGGGAATTAGGATGTGGACATCTTTGGGGCCATTATTCTGTCTCCCACATGGGGATTAGGATGTGGACATCTTTGGGGCCATTATTCTGTCTCCGACATGGGGATTAGGATGTAGACATCTTTGGGGCCATTATTCTGTCTCCGACATGGGAATTAGGATGTGGACATCTTTGGGGCCATTATTCTGTCTCCCACGTGGGGATCAGGATGTGAGCATCTTTGGGGCCATTATTCTGTCTCTGACATGGGAATTAGGATGTGGACATCTTTGGGGCCATTATTCTGTCTCCCACATGGGGATTAGGATGTGGACATCTTTGGGGCCATTATTCTGTCTCCCACATGGGGATTAGGACGTGGACATCTTTGGGGCCATGATTCTGTCTCCCACGTGGGGATCAGGATGTGAGCATCTTTGGGGCCACTAGTCTCTCTCCCACATGAATCATGTGGACCTGGACATTGTTGGGGAGGCAACAGTGTAGGAAGGATTACGGTGTTCCCACATAAACTGGTTATAAGGAACGTATGAAAGAAATCAGGAACGACAGACTCCGGGAGGCCGCAGGAGGCCTCTGGGGAAGAAGGCCTCTCCATTCCCAGCATGTTCCCAGGAGCAGAGTGACCTAAGCTTGGGGCCTCCACTGCCTTCGTTACAAGTGATGGTTCCCTGATCCCACTTTCATTCTGAATCTGTCTTTTTCTCATTCTTTTGTCGCCCCTGATCTCGGGGTCCCCATGGGAAGGGTGTGCGGCTGATTCCCTGCAGACACCTTGGGGTGCGCATTATTTAGCCTGCCATACCCACCTGCTCTGTACCTCACATACTTTAGTTGCAGGAAAAATACAATCATAAACCAGATTCTTGATCTCGTGGAAATCATAGTCTCAAAGGAAGCAAGCTCAATAATTATTCCGTGAAATGTCCCACCTTAGAAAACGCATGTCTTGCAGTGTGAGAACACAGTCACAGAAAATATGGGGAAGACTGCATCCAAGTCACACCGCTCCTGGAATTTCCCAGCCTGTGCTACTCAGAACCCCATTTCCAGGGGATGGTAATGGGCGTCCGTTTGTCACAAGAGGGTGGCTTGAAATGGCACTTGGCGCTTTCTTCCGTGTGTCTTTTTTTATTTACATCTTTCAGGAGGTTGGCCTGGCTGTGGCTTCCCTGGGCTCCCTGGAGGTTTCTGTGGCTGGCTAAGGACATCCACATTTATCATGTCCCTGGGGTCACTGTTGAGATGAACTCAGTTGCAGAGAATCTGGATTTTTTTTTTTTTTTTGAGATGGAGTCTTGCTCTGTCTCTAGGCAGGAGTGCAGTGGCGCGATCTCGGCTCACTGCAACCTCCGCCTCCCAGGTTCAAGCCACTCCCCTGCCTCAGCCCCCGAGTAGCTGCGACTACAGATGGCCACTACCACGCCCAGCTAATTTTTTCTATTTTAGTACAGCCAGGGTTTTACCATGTTGGCCAGGATGGTATCGATCTCCTGACCTTGTGATCTAACTGTCTCGGCCTCCCAAAGGGCTGGGATTATAGGCATGAGCCACCGTGCCCAGCCCAGATTTTTTGTTGTTGTTGTTTACCTCTCTGGGTTCATGCAGAAGCTTCCAGAAAAGAGCTGGAGACTCCACTCCTGGATGCTGTGTTGAATACCCATCACACGCTCTCCACAAAAAGACAGAAGAGCAGAGAGGGGGTGTCTTCTGGACAAATCCTCTTGATTCTCCTGGAAAGGCAGCAGAACCACGGAGCTCCCTGAGGCACATGGGCTTGGATGGGGGCCTCCCGAGATACCCAGGGTGGATGGAAAGCTACAGGAGTAGGAGTTCCTGAAGCCAGAAGTAACCAGGACGGCACAGTCAACTCTGGGAACGGACGCATCACCAGCCCGTCTCCTGGAGGCTTGGGCCAGGTGAACCTTGGTTTAGAGAAGAAGTGAAGGAGTCTCCTCACTTGTCCCCTGCTTGCTTTATGCATCAGAATTCAACCTCATTGTGTGCAGATGAGGAGGCTGGATTCTACACCAGCCATGCTAGAAATGGATTCATCACCAGCTCAGGTGCTGGAGGCTTGGGCCAGGTGAACCTTGGTTTAGAGAAAAATATAAATGATCGTTTTTTCATTTGTTGCCTGCCTTGTTTTATGCGTCAGAATTCATCCTCGTTGTGTGCAAATGGGATTGCTGCATTCTGTGTTTGTGATATTGCTGGTGTGAACATCTGTGAATAGTTTCCACTGACAGGCAGCCTCGGAAGGACTCCAGCAGTAGCACTTTTAGTGTCTAAGAAGCTAGCAGGGAGTCTGCACATTTCCCCTGAACTAGGGCTGTCTGACCTCTGGTCATCTCACATGTTAGGACCCCCCCCGCACAGCAGGAGGTGAGTGGCAGGTAAGGAAGCGAAGCCTCCTTGGTACTGACCGCGCTCCCCATTGCTCTTATCAGCACCTCACCCACCTCGCGGCAGAGCAGCCGCAGCATTTGATTCTCACAGGAACACAAACCCTACTGTGAACTGCCCATGCCAGGGACCCAGGCTGTGCGCTTGTTGGGAGAATCCAATGCCTGATGCTGTCACTGTCTCCCGTCACCCCCATACGGGAGTGTCTAGTCACAGGAAAACAAGCTCAGGGCGCCCAGTGACTCCACATGGCGGTCAGTTGCAGAACTATTTTATTACAGAGTGCAATGTCATAATAAAAGACATAAAATGCATAATCAATGTCATGTCCTTGAATCATTCTGGAAACATCCACACACCCACCCACCCACATCCATCTCCACCATCTCTCTTCACAAAATTGTCTTTCACCAACCGGGCACAGTGGCTCACGCCTGCAATCCCAGCACTTCGGGAGGCCAAGATGGGTGTATCACGAGGTCAGGAGTTCGAGACGAGCTTGGTCAACATGGCAAAACTCCGTCTCTACTAAAAATATGAAAAGTAGCCGGGTGTGGTGGTGGGTGCCTGTAATCCCAGCTACTCAGGAGGCTGAGACAGGAGAATCACTTGAATCTGGGAGGTGGAGGTTGCAGCCAGCCAAGATCATGCCACTGCACTCCAGCCTGGGTGACAGAGCAAGACTCCATCTCAAAAAAAAAAAAAATTCTTTCAAAAAACTGGTGCCTGGTGCCAAAAAGGTTGGGAAGCACTGCCCTAAACTATTTCCCCAGAATCTTCCCTCCAGAACGCCTACTAATCAATCGCGTATCTCAAGCCTCTCGGAAAACAGCCCCAGCTGAGCCCCACAACAGTGACTTCGGAGGCAAGAAGGAGCCACACTTGGTGCTTTTCTTGTTTTATCCT